AAAATTCACACAGAGCTTAGTATTTTAAATAAGAAACGAGACTACTGAAGTGCCAAAAGCAATCAGGACAGTTCTTCTGATTCCAGATTTAATTTAATAGCAAAACCACCCTCGGTATAATGATCTGGTGGTTGGGCTTTTTTTTTTAATTTGGTAGCTTTAACACCTAAATGGTGGTCATTCATCAAGTGCACTACTTTAAAGAGATGGTCATGACCACAAGCAGAACATGCACAAGAACCAGAAGTCTGGATGGAGATATTTATTTTCACTAAAATATTATTTTTAATTACATTTTCATCATGCAAATACATCAATAATAATTTTTTTACTGAAAACAACACAATTCAATCCTTGTAAGTAGTTAATAATTAGTATTATTTGCAAATAAAACATCATTGTTCTGTTACTTGACCAGTATCTTCCGATTTTAGAAAGCTTCTCATTTTACAAGGTACAATCAATTGCAATCTACAGCACATTCCTATTTTTGTTTCAAAACTTATCTTTCAGTTACCAAATCTCATTCATTTTCATATGAACCTGGGGGCTCAAAATCAGTAAAGATTTAAAGTTTAATCTAAAGAAATGTCTTAGTAGGCTTCAGCTAGAAGTGGTTCAATGACCATCTGACAAGGGGAAACATGGAGACATCTCCAAATGGAGACAAATCAATAAACTGACACAAGCCAGCAATAAAATGGAAATCAGAGAGTATTAGTGGGAGCTACATTGATGTATCTCATCACAGCTAAAGAAGACAACTGTTCAAGCAAAGTAAGAAGAGCAGGCAGGCAGTTCAGCACATCAGACACAGAGGAAAATAAAATATTTAATCTGTGCTATTCTGCTGAACAACTCCTCACCTAAACTCTGTAAGCAGTATTAAATGACACCCTCTCATCCATCTGTTTCAGTCCCAGACTCTAAGGATTATAATATTTGGGTTTCCATCTTACTACAATCAAAATTATATCACTGAAATCTTCCAATAATATCCCTATAGTTCAATCAGCTAAACTGAGATTAGACTAATTTATAGGGAACAGCACACCTGAGCATCACTGCTCATCTTACACCCTGAGCACAATACTGTGGAGCAGTGTTCATGTGGCTGCTGTAAAAACATTGCTGTGACAATTAACTTCAATGCAAGTGCATCACCACCAATAGGTCGTGTCACTTAAATCTCAGTTTTTAAAAATTTTAAAAACCACCAGTAACGTTTTTGCTGTGGTTAATATTGTAATATTCTTAACCTGTTAAACATCAAACTTTCGAGAGTGTGACGAGAGTGATCCTTGTCACTCACAGAGGCTTCATCTTTGCTCCACGGCGAGGAGATTATCACAATAAAGGAGATTAAGTGTTGCAAATTTTTGTGTTTTCATAAAGAAGCTGAAGTCCCTGCCTCACTGAGCAGAACTCAGAGTAAAAACCACCATTACATATAAAGCCCCAAGTGTAACAAGATGAACCGCAATGTAACTTTCCAGACTGTTTGCCCAAGCTGTTTAATGCCCTGTGTATTTCTGCTGAGGGAAAGTGAGAGCTTAACTTGAATTATGTCCTTGCTGCTTTCGAAATACTTTAAACAGTTATTCAGACTGTAGCCAGTGTGTCATGCATTCCAATACAGAATATAAGAATCTATGCATTTAGTGTCACTGTAAGACTTTTACCTCGAGTTTTCCTTTCGGAGTCATGAAGTTAATCATGAGGAAGGAATGCACACTCTGATCGTGCTAATTAGCTTACTGAATATGACTTCTAAAGAGATCACTTAATGTGTCCTCAAGGATGCTGAAAACCGTTTTATTAAGAGAAATGCTTGGTTTGCTCTACTGACACATTCACTGGACCAAAAGGCTGTCATGAAGTAATCTGTAGCTGTCTTGATATCTATATATGGACAAGAAATACCACTGCAAAAGATACATTCTGGATTTAATAACCACATTTTATAGCCACTGAAAATTACTCTATAAGGGTAAGGATAAGAGCAGGAGAAAATTCACTCACGCTTTCAGAAAATTTAAATATGAACTTTCCAGGGCATACTTTTTAACACATGAAGGGCAAGAATCAGTGCTCTGGATCTCCCCACTTAATTCCATGCTTTTATTTTACCTCTTTGTCATTACTGAAGGACACTAAGGAGCAGTGCCAATCGATACATAATTCTGCTAATGATTGTAAAAGGGCTTTAAAAAAAGTTATATGCAATAAACTTTTTAAACTGCTTCCTTAAGCTAAGAAAAGAGCACCTCGTGGGTTTTAGCATGGCTCAGAAATTTTTAGAATGTTCTCATCTTTGCCATGTTATTTTGATATAATTTCTTCCCGTTTTGTCTTGGGTGGGAGGTTGGCCAAATACCCCCATCTACTGCTACCATCAGGCCTTCCCTGCTCATTCCTCTCCAGAACACAAGA